TTTTTTTTTTTTTTTTTTTTTTTTTTTTTTTTTTTTTTTTTTTTTTTTTTTTTTTTTTTTTTTTTTTTTTTTTTTTTTTTTTTTTTTTTTTTTTTTTTTTTTTTTTTTTTTTTTTTTTTTTTTTTTTTTTTTTTTTTTTTTTTTTTTTTTTTTTTTTTTTTTTTTTTTTTAAAAAAAAAATTTTTTTTTTTTTTTTTTTTTTTTTTTTTTTTTATTTTTATTTTTTTTTTTTTTTTTTTTTTTAAATTTTTTTTTAAATTTTTTTTAAATTTTTTTTTTTTTTTTTTTTTTTTTTTTTTTTTTTTTTTTTTTTTTTTTTTTTTTTTTTTTTTTTTTTTTTTTTTTTTTTTTTTTTTTTTTTTTTTTTTTTTTTTTTTTTTTTTTTTTTTTTTTTTTTTTTTTTTTTTTTTTTTTTTTTTTTTTTTTTTTTTTTTTTTTTTTTTTTTTTTTTTTTTTTTTTTTTTTTAAATTAAAATCGGGCGTATGAGATCGCAGCAGAAGGTTTGGTTCTATATCGTCTGACGAAATCTACTGTTATTCATTAGAATAATGATTAAAGCCTATTCGGTATAATACCGAAAGCCCTAACTATCTCGGTGACATTTAATTATATTATGTATTTTTATTTAATGTTAGAATTAACCAAACTGAAAAATCAAGTAATCGTAATAAAATACATATAAATAAAAATACTATTTAAATACAAAATAGTCTGTAGCTCTATATATAATTTTGACACTGCAAAACCATCCTAATTAAAACATGAGTTGACAGTGACACCACGTAGTTACTATTAAGAGTTACCTTCTGTATGAATTGGTCAATTGTCAATCTATTAGGTCATTACTCAATTGATATTAGTAATTTGTCAAAACTTCATGGTAAATAGTAAATACACAAAATATCTAATATCACTAATAATTTATTTATGAAGTTATTTCATTATAATACTTATAAATAAAATAAAAATCCGTACATGTTTATTAATTTTATAGTTGATATTCTTATTTGGAATTGTATAAATATTTATATGCATCCTATTTTTAATCCGGCGGGTTAGCCAAGGCGGACTGTACAGTTTTCAGAATATTAATCGAATAGCAGAATAATGTCATCAACTGCGTCAAAACTAGTATTAGGTTTATCCTGTATCATAAGCACAGGAATTGTTGCCTATGTACATGTAAAACAACAAATAGACAGGTAATAATTCAATCATTTCTTAAGAACCTTAGCTATATAGTAAATCATTTCTTATAATTTTCTGAAATATGATAAGAGATAAGAGAGAAGCAAATTTATCCTTTATTTTTAGTTCAGTTTTAATGCGGTGGAGGTTAAATCATGTGAATTGTTAACTACATTAGTTCAATATTTTGTATTAATTTTTTTGATTATCACAAACATTAAGACACTAAGTTATCATTTATCAAATTGTGAATTCAATTATTCTACTGCTGTGAAGAACATGATAACTGTATTTATTTATTGATGTTTAAATAGCTGTACAATACTTTTTTCTTTTTATAAAAAATAGTTCAATAACCTCACAATAAAAAGCACAGATACATATTGTGAGCATTATATAACCTTTACTAATTTGTGTGATAATTTCTAAATAAATATTTAAAATGACTAGCTGGATAGATGCTTGATGCTCAGAGGCATTTTATATACATAGATTATATTGAAACACTTGTTGTACACACAACCCTTTAATTTATTGCTGCCATATTTTAATGACAATTTTCATTCAGGGAAAGGATGCATGATGGAGTCATCAGAGATACAGAAAGACAACAAAGAAGAAAGATAGAAAATTTATATATTCTAGAAAAACAAAAAGAATTGACAAAGCAACTCAAAAATGATATGAGTAGTTGATAAGATTATTAAAAATGCTACGTAGTATCTAGTAACTATTTATTCCTAAAATATTGTAAAATAAAATATTATAACTATTTTCCATCTTTTAAACCTTCTAACCAAACACTATTAAGATTTATATCGTTTCCAGTGGGTTCTTTTTTGTCCGTAGAGTCCACAAAATCATCAAAGCAAAGTTTTTGTTTTGCAACTGCAGCCAGGCTTTCAAAAGTTTTAGGTTCCCAAGAAGCCAAATCAGACAATGATTTCCGATCCAGCAATATGTTGGCACGCTCTAAACCTTCTCTGAGACTAAATGCGGTGATGTTTTGCTGCTCACAAGCAGCTGTAATTCTCGTATCCCATAAATTTTTCATATCTTCTTTTTTTAAAGCACGGGCTTTAGTTGAGTATACTAGCGCGCGATGAACATTTCGAACAGCTACTGAATAAGTATTCCGACGGCGACCTAGAAAATGAGCTGCTAACCTAAAAATTTTCCTCTTCCTCCAAAATTCATCAGGACCCCTGCATCTTATCAAGTTTGATAACGTTAAAAACACCATATTACGAAATTATTTATTAATACCGAAATTACCGCTGACAACCAGTTTTAGAAATATCAAATAAGTAATTATACTTCGCTTATTTTATAAGCAATGAGCATAATAAAAACAAATCCACAGAAGCAAAATATCGAAGAAGGCTGAAGTGAATGTCAAAAGTAAAAATCTGTCAGCTGTCTCATCAAACAATATACTTGTCTCGAGACAAACTCACTTTTTGACAGGCGTGACCCTAACAAATTTGAATTTAAATGGTCACGTGAAAAAGCGTGAGCTAATGTCATTAACGCTATCCAAATACGTAACAAGATAAAACAAGGTTTGATGCATTAATTTACGTATGTTGGTAATCGGTTTTGTCGGCAGAAGGGTCGACCTTAGTCGATATTTTAAGCTATACATTTTATTTTATTTTAAACAATCACATTTCTAAAAATCACTGTGACAGGGGTAGCCCATTTTAAGAGACGTTATTCATTATAATTCAAATACTATACGCAAATTTATTTAAAGTCATTGGTGTTACTTGCCTTAGACTAAATTAAATACTTAAGATTATTAGTCAAAAAGAAACACGACTTTCTTTATATACCATTTAGTTAATACGAGTAAATACGAATAACAGCCTATGTGTTTATACTAAATAAACTACAATAAATCAGATAATAATAATAAATTCAATGATGATTTAGACCATTATGTGCTTTTTTCGTATTGATTTCCATTTTCGCTGTGATCATGTAAGTTATACGAATCACTAGAAACATCAAATCGTTCGTTGACGGGCATTATGTGGTCAATTAGTTTTGCTTGTGCCACATTCGATGAATGAATAGCAACGTACCGAAGTATTAGTATCTGAAAGAGATATATAAAACATACTTACAAAGCGTGGGGTTCTAAAATTTTATAATAAAACAATTAAAGCAATTGAGAACAGTATTTGTTTGAGTGTTGTTCACGGCTACGCACCAAAAGACTTCTCTTTCTACTTGCGCAATTACCCCTCACTCGTACGGTAAAGGAAAATATCGGCATAACTTGGACCCAAAACTTTCGGCGTGTATCAGGATCATAGAAATCTGACCACGCATTTGCCGATTTAAAAAAATGATTACGAAACGGACACAAACATTTGAGGCCAAGACCTAGGTTCTGGCACCATTGAATTTTTTAAGAAAAAATAATTGGACAAAAATTAAAGGCGTTGGATAAAAATAAGAAATGTTTACCTATCTATCTAACACTAATTTGTTTAAGTAGTAAAATAAACAACATCGCAAATATTGAAGCTCAGCATCACTGGGCCCTCCGACTATAATCGTAATTTATAAACTACTTTACATTTAATTTTATCGCAACCTTGCTAGTATATAACTTTAATAGTCTTGGCACGTAGTACTCAACTTAATTCGGAAAAAAGTACTATAAAAAAAAATTTAATCGGCAAAATTAGTTTTGTGTCAACTGTCAATTGTATACCTCTAAAAGAATTACAGCTACAAAGATAAGGAGATGCACATTCATTGAAACTATTATAAGACGATACATTGTACTTCCGCAACCCCTTTCATTTATAGAATTGGTACCAAGCTCTTCAAGGAAGTTAGAGACGCACGAGCCACTTTTACAGCAACTAAAATAAATTAATGTGCTTTAATAGTAGTGGTAGTATAAATATATAGGATTAAAAACAAAGTAAATTGTTAAATAATAAGATTAAAAAGTTTAATTGGCTTTGAAGGACTGACCAACTAACTATTCATATTGGTCAGTCCTATCAAAGAGAATCATGTTATTCTATGTTCTATTTATAAATACATATTTGTTTATTACCGATGAGCGTAAGAAACGCTATTTGAAATCGTAGGAAACAGTCTGTGGAATTAGGTTTTGATTAATTTTAGGCGAATATGTTGGCTAGACACACAGAAATCGTTTTTAGGTTTTTCCAACTAAACGCACATTTCACACTCTACGGAAAATTCGGGCAAGTCGTGTCAAGACAAAACCTAACCTCAAAGGTACACTATCCGAAGTTTCCTTCTTCAAGCCCATATTATCTTGTGACAGTTCCAAGTCATAATCCCGAACTTTGTCATGCCAGTCATGTTTAAACCAATCTTTATAGGAATGCAACTGAAACATTCACGTTATTTTGCTACAGCTGAATGAGCAGTTTCAAAAAAATATTATGAAGTTAACAATAAATTTATATAAAACTAGCATTTTAAGTTAAACGGAAATTAGTTTACATGAGAATTTCGTTAGTGTGATTGTTTTATGTGCAATCACTACTTGCTGTTACGGAATACATATTGAGAACCTAGCAGGGCATAGGGGGAGATTTGGAAAGGAGGAATAGCGCGAACTATTACTCCCATATATCAAAATCCAGTAGATTTTCTGACACACGGGAGACAGACTTTGACACGGTTAGTCTCGTATCTGATTACCTTCGAACCGAAAACCAACGATTATATCAAACCAATATGTTTTATAGTAGGTACACATATACAGGATGGTCCAACTAGTGACGTCAATAAAAAAAAGGGTGCGTGTACTTATGTACGCGCGTAAGAAGTTATACTTCTTTGGCATTATTAAAAATAGTTTTTGATTGCATGCAAATAATTAATTACAATTAAATAATCAAAGACTGGAAAAGGAGTCATTAAAGTCAATAAAGTTCAGTTTACATTTGAAAAATTAATTAAATAAATATTTATTATTATTCTCTTACATTAAACAAATAAAACACTATTTATCTTTAAAACATTTTTATTTCATTATACTATTTATTATTAAGTGACTCTAATGTCTTCATCAGAATTTCGGTTTGTAATTTTAAATTAATCATTACTTGGTTGTGCATCTACGAGGCTTCTCCAAAACTACTTGCTTTCTGCAACAAATAAGAGAATATTAATTTAAGCTCTGTCCATGCAAAACTTAAAATTTTTTATAATTCATATTATAAATTTTTTAACACATTTATATTAATATAATTATATAAATGTGTTAATAATATAATTTGTAGCATATGCTACAGACCTGGATAGCAACTTTCTTTTTTCTATTTAGAGATAGAGATAATTTAAATATAATACCGGTGTCTTCCTTGTAGGTTTCTTTGGAGTTGTTTGGGGATTCTTGTTGTTCAGTTCGACATGATTTTCTTTAACCTTTCTTTAATCCTACAAAATAATGAAATTGTTAAGTTATGTTGTCACTGTTGTGCACACCTTTGTTTGGCTTTTTTAGTATTCAAGTTATGTCAAAACTGATTTATTACCTTGTCATTGTTGGCTTTATTTGCTTTTGGGATATCAATTGTTTCCAAAATGATTTTATTTGTAATATCCTGAAATATATAAATAACATCTATTAATTTAAGTATCATGGTGAGTGGTTCGCACTCAGGTATTAAGGTGTATTATACCCACTGTCCATTATAAGTGGGAATGGGCTCACTTCTGGCAGGACAGAGTTTCGGTACTACAAGTGCAACATGGATGTTTTGAGGTATTACAATATCTCTAACTACCCTGTAGGGGAATAAAGTAATGTTGTAAGCATATGCCTATGCTTGAAAGGTTGAACCTTGAACATCACCATACATCATATTTATAATTAACATTCCTACCTCGACACCATCACAATCAAATTCATTGAAATCTACTTCAAACCATTGTGTCTCGAGAAGGTGATGGTGGCTTTGTTCCACCTCCAGTTTTTGATGTTTCACGGCGATAAGATGACAACTCTTTTTTGTATTCAATTTAGTGCACTTCCACTGATTCATCAATTGTTTTTTGTCTCTTGTCCTTATATTTGCTAGATTAAATCTGATGTTTTGATTAAATAATGTGGTCATTTTTTTGTGATGCAGGTACTTATTAAAATGTTTACTTCTCTGTTATATCGCTCCAAGCCTTCATTTTCTCCTTATTAGTATTCGTGCTTAAATCTTTGTTCTCAATTATTGATATATAGGGTCGTAGAATATTTCTAAAAAGTTGCTGTAACAAACGCAATAAACAAAAGCAATTAATAATGGTTCATGTTTCAGTTTTAATCAACAATAATACTCTATAATACATACGGATAGTTAACCTCAATTGTATTGAAGCACTCAGGAAGGTTAGCACAGTTTTTTCACAAATATTTTATATTATTTCACAAATATTTTGTATAATGAAAATAACTAGGTATATAATTATTAATTTTAAACAATAATTAAAACTCCTATATTTGTTTAAAAGGTAAATGTCATTGTCAGATGTCATTGTCATGGTCATTCAAAATTCTTGTTGCTGCTAGCTAGAATATGCGTGAAGTTAGCTTCACGCATATTCATTTCTTTTTACTTGTAGTTTGTCTTATTCCCATCTCGCTCGCGCACGCTATATCACACTGCCAATTTTGTGTCATAGGTGCGCGCGCAATCGTAAAATTTCACTCTCATCAATTTTTCATAACGCGCCTAAAGAAGTACAACTTCAAAATTTTAGATTCCTCACACCTGGGGATGTACGAAAATATCCCATGTATGTTCCGCGATTTTTCTAGTTTTGTAGTATGAATTTTTGAAACCTCGCTGGCAGAAAACATTAAAAAAACACAAAAAAAATTATAACTCGAAAACTACAAAACCCCCCAGGGTGTGAGGAATCTAAAAAAAATTATTGACGTCACTAGTTGGACCACCCTGTATAAGTATTTATGGTAGTGTTACGGAGCTTCGTCGATAAGAAGTTATAATAAATTAATCTTACCCCACAACACTGCAGATACACCTGAAGAAAGTCAATAAAGCGTTTGTATTTTGGATGACTTCTATACTTCTTCATACTATTTGCAAAGAACCTAGTTACTAAGTCCTGGCAAATGTACAATCTGTGTATGCATAAAACTACACCAATAAAGCTGATTATAATTATCCAGAGAATGCATTGCCATAACGGGCAACAGAATACTCGTAATCTGAGGCTGTAATAAATGTATAATATTTACTATTCATATGCTCTATGTAAATTTTTATGGGAGAAATAAACGTGTAAAAGGAAATAGATTTTACTAGCTGACGCGTTTTATTGTGACAATTATTTATATGGTTTATTCTTTTTATTTTTACTACTAGAGGCGAGTGGATGGGCGCAAGTGGGGTTAGCAAACTTGCCTCTTCCAGAATTCGACAGAGCTTATGTGGCGCGAGATGTAGGGGTAAGTTTCAAAGTAACTGGCGCTAGCTATGACTTGTGCTTATGAAAAATGTGTACCCTACGTCTAAAGACAGAATTTAATTATATAGAATGTGTTTATATTTACTCAAGTTTCTTTCCCTTTGCAATATGATTTAAAATAAATATATTCGTTGGTAACATTATCACGCCAGATAAAAGAACAACAGCGTTTACTAAATCCGTTCCAGTCAAAAACAGTAGATCGTTAACACCTGAAAACAATTTCATGGAGAAACAAGTTCGTTTATTTTAATAAACATTAAAAATATTACGTACAAAATAGTAAGAATAAAGACCATATAATTGAGAATATAGATATAATCCATAAAAAAGTTGACGCCCAAATTAAAAATGGATGGTTTGGGCTATTCCACTCCATTTTACTGAACAAGGAATATAAACGCGTGAAATGAATGTTTAAATATATTTTATTGCAACATGTCAAAATTGACTTACAAATTTTGACATAATGAGACAAAAACTTAAGATCTATAACGGTGAACCAACACCACATAATACGATTCTCTTCTTTATTATCTATGAATTATCACAGATACCCTCACGAATTTGCTTCATATGAAGAGTTTGACTAATTTCATACATAGGCATATAATATAGGTATAAAATGGGTGATTTATAAAAAAAAACTATAAAATAAAAATAAAACAATGTATTGCATTATTTTTTAATAAAATTATAACAATATAACATGTTGATTCACTTATAAGTACAAAATTTATAACCATTTCAAATTCAATAAAAATTAACTCAGTTTGTATAAAATAATATAAAACATACACTTATTTTTAGGTATAGATTTCAAAAACATTTGTATACATTAGAAACTCAGTAAATTCATTAAATGTAATAATTATCTTTGAAAATGTCCTACATTTCTAGTGCTATAGTGCGACGTTGACCTTTTCAAGGAACCAAACGTCATTTCGTGAGTTCTAACTTACGATAACAAGTCAAACATTTTCTCCTTAAAATATTTTGGCAATTTAAAAGTACCTCAAAAATATTCATTCAAAATCTCTTAAACTTTTTCTTAGATAATTACAGTAACGTAAATATTTTTCAGTAAATATTTGATGTTATAACTATTTTATTCTTTATCCATTTCAGTGATATCTCCCATTTTCTTGAGATTGGGTGATACATTAAACTCACAGCCCACACTGGCAACAATGTCTTCAACTTTGACACCTTCAGCAAGTTCGGTAAGAATCAATCCCTTTTCCTTATCAACTTCCATGACGCACTGAAATTTATGTTTTACGTATAAACTGACAAAGAAAACATTAAAAAATAAAAATAGTACAGAAAATAGTCAGTTAAAAGGTTTTTTATGACTGGCTGAGGCAAAGTATAATCGGCATAACGTTGCGTACGCGGAACTTTATTTTGAATCCTATTGAGTTGTCAAGGGTCCTAGACAAAGACACTACGGCAGGCGTGACCAAGATGAATTTGTATTGCAATGGTCACGTGACCTAGCGGGCGTTGTTGATTTCATAGTTTTATATATTAACAAATCATGTCTAACTAATATTTTTGTCTTGAGCTCCATATTGACGTACGACTTGAGTTATATAGCAAAGTAAAGAATAAGACATTCAATAATTATTGTTAACTCTATACAATAATTTTTTTAATAATAAATGTTTGTACTTGAGTAGTGTTCAATGATTATTTGAACTAAAATCGGAAGCAGGTGCGTTCGAATAGTATTTGTTACCTTTTTTTTACATGCAAGGAAAGCCATTTTGCCATTTGTTATCGTTATGATTTCCGAAAAATGCTGTAACACTTTTATTGTATATACGAAAACAATTTTCTCTCTAGAGATCAAACTTAGGATCTCCAGTTAAAATAATTACCTTTTCTGTAATGATCATATCGACGCAATGCTTGCCAGTGAGCGGTAGTGTGCATTCGGGTACAATTTTGTGTCCGCCATTTTTCGCTGAGTGTTCCATTGTGACCACAACTTTCGTTCCTGGTGATGACACCAGGTCCATGGCACCACCCATTCCTTTCACCATTTTACCCTAGGAAATAATATATCTCGTCACAAGAACGTCAATAGAAAAAATAATGCTTCTACATTTACTACAATATTATATATTCCTTAAGTATTTGAAAGTTTATTATCAAAATACTATTAAATACTTCTTCATTTTCATACTAATTAATGACATGTTGAAAATTTATTTTGATAGGTAAAGTAAATTGTCAAAGTGACAACTGACATTATATTAGAACATTATGAAAACATTTCACTTAAACATTATACTCATGCTTCAAACTATCGTTAAGCGAATGATAAAAGGGAACAATTATTATTCCAATTATAGAAATATTATCAATAAAATGTTATTTTCATTATGATGAATATTGTACACCTTAAGCTATAAACAGACAAGATTTATTGCATTGACATAAAGAGACAAAAAGTACTTCAACAAAAGAGATTTTTGAATAAGGAGGTGCTCCTCTATAAGAAGACATAGTATATAGTATAGTATACTCTTTGTATAATATATTATGTATTAAAGTTAAATGAAATTATTATAAACAATTTGTTTCTATGAAGGGTACGAAATCCACTTTTTCTTTTTAAAAAATCAGTTCACATGCACAATTTAAACTCGGCAGAGACACATTTTGGGTCGCAAAGCCAGCGGAGTGAGTGTCTCTTTTCATTACAGCGTAAATACACTTTGACAGAAAAAGACAAAAATACTTAAGTTTAAACAGTGCAATAGAGTGGTCTTACGGGTATCATCCAATTAGCCAAGTCCCCGTACTGCGAGACTTGCATCGCTCCCAACATCGTTAATTCCACGTGACCACCACGTATCATAGCAAAACTGTCGTCCGATGAGAAATATGATGCGCCTGGAAAAGTGATAAGAGAGACTCAAATTTGTTACCATGGTTACCAATCGTTTTAAAGTCAAAATTCAGAAACGAGAGCGCTAACTCCGACTTCCGTACGTCAAAAATGACATTATTGACATACGACAGTCATAGTAGTGTTTCTGAATCTAAGTTATTTCGTCGAGAATTCTCAGTTAATTTCGAGTAAGTTTGTGTATTTTTTTATAACGGTTCAATATGAAGTGCTCTGGTCATTCGTTGCTAATTAAATTATTGTTTTGCCGGGTATAGAAAAATAAAAAATTTTAACCAATAAGAACATTTGTATTGTTGAATACGTTGTGTGAAAGAGATCGCCTAATAGCGATAAAACCGTACTGTTTCATTTTGCAAATGGTTTTGTAAATTTCTAGTGTAAATAAATAAACATTCAACTACAACAGAAAAATAATTGAAACATTAATAAAATCTTTCAAATAAGATTAGAGATTCAGCATTTTAAAAAAATCCACATTCCACAGATCTGATTCCACAAATTTTTGAAAAGGACAATTTAGACAATTTCAGTAGTTAAGACTTGAACAATTTTTTTTATTCTAAGGCTTATATTTTATAATAAACTTTTACCTGGAAGGATGGTGACTGTTTCTTTGCCAGCATTAATAAGATCGGCATCGATTTCTTCTTCTTGAGGGTAGGGCCCAAGGCCTAATATACCATTCTCCGATTGCAACAGAACATTCATATTGCTTGGAATGAAGCTACTTGCTAACATTGGCATACCTGAAAGTTCCCTTAGATGTTTCAATATTCGTATATTTTTTATACTATTCACAATTCTCTTAAAATTTATCTTAATATTTTTTTTTACTATGCATTATGTTAACTTAATTCTGATATTCTGTGAGGAAAGTGAACCGGCGTGGCATTTTTTCACAGAAATCTCTTTTAATTTTTTTCATATAAAGTATCAAGATTACCGTCAATGTATATTGATGTACTAGAAAATAAAAAAGGTTATCTTTACGCACAGGCTATCGGTAGGTAGCTGGGACTTCCGACACGGGTTTTCTCAGTTTAAGTTTATATGTATGAAATATTTTGTATATTATATAATAAAGGGGTAAAGTTTGTAAGGGGTAATCTCTAATGCACAGTACCGATTATGAAAATTATGACATCTAAATAATTAATAACTATGTTAATTATTAACCTTGAAAAATAAATTTAAATAAAAAAGATTGTAACAGTTCTTTTGTGGTACTGAGATGGTTGTACTCAGAATTTTTTTCCGAAAGAAAACTTTTCTTGTCAACGATGAGAAATATGATATAATTGAGCCAATGAAAGTAAGCGAACACTTATATTATATAAAATCAAGTCATCCGACGTGCCTATCTGTCATATAAACTCAAAACTACTGCACGGAGCTTAATGCAGTTTTTACCAATATCTAGAATGATTCACGGCTAAGGTTTAGCCGTATAATTATTCAAGTTTGCCTGTTTCGGGGCGGGTTTATTAGGAATTATCCATAAACACCTAATTATCGGCCATCTAGGTTATTATACCTATATTAAATACTTACCAATACCAAGATTAGCATGCATCCCATCCTTAAACTCCAAAGCAGCTCTCTTGATAATCCTTTCCCTTACTAAATCCGATGGCTTCTTCTCTTTGTTCTCCTTGTTCTTCGCTACTGTTCGTCTTTCTATACGTTTCTCATATTTCTCGCCCAAAACAATTCTATGGACATAAATCGAGGGTGTGTGCACGGAGTTAGGGTCGATTTCGTCAACGATCTCTTCGACTTCTGCAATTGTTATTTTCGCAGCTCTAGCCATTGTTGGGTTAAAGTTACGAGCGGTTTTTCTGAAGAGGAGATTTCCATGTCTATCGGCCTTCCATGCTTTGACTAAAGCAAAGTCACCGGTTATCGCCTCTTCCATTATATAGTTAATGCCGTTGAATTGTTGTGTTGCGCGTGGAGCGCTTGGTATTTCAATCTGAAATTTATATATATACTAAGGATTTCCCTTCAAAAAGACTCCTCTATTTTGAGATAACATAAAAAACAAGTTGAGCATGGCGTACAGACCTAAGCTGTAACGCAAGTTCGGCTCTGTACATCGAGAGCAAACGTCTATGAGGGAAAAAACTTTCTGGTATTTTCTACCGCGGGTAATAAATGGAGTACCCGTCAGTTATTAAACGCCTTAACTTAAGCGACATAAAAAATAAGTTGAAAAACTACATTTATACTAAAAACTATATTTTACATTAATACAAACCACAGAGGTTTTCTAATGTAACATATCATGATTTAGATTATATTATTCTGTAAAATTAGTAAACAAAAAGGGATATAATAACAAAAAATAAATAACAATTCGTCAAATATTTAAGCTCTAGGATCCTTTTGTTTAAGCTCTGAAAGTTTTATTATAAACTTAATTACCTTCCCATCCTTAGTATATTTAATTGGTGAGCCTCCTTCGTGAATAAGTGTACCGTAGCCTGTTGGAGTAAAGAATGCTGGTATACCAGCTCCACCTGCCCTTATTCTCTCTGCCAGTGTTCCTTGGGGAGTAAGTTCTACCTTAAATTCGAAATTATTCATTTTATAAACTATTTGTCTATAGAAGATAAACTTTGTATTTTCAATTCTGCTAAGTTGTTAAAAAAAAATTCAAAACTCGCACCAATGCTTACGACGTACCATACTTGTGGACATAACCATAGACAATAGAAAAACGTCAAGTTTTTTAATTTGGTAATCATTACCAACGTACCAATTATTATTGACGTATAAAAATATAATTTTTCTTAATTATGGTTTTTTAAATTTATGAATGGTTTTTTAACAAGTTATTGTACTACATAACGCTTTTTAAAGTGATGTTTAATATACAGATTACTCCTAATTCCACTTAATTTTTTTATGTCAGAATTTTTGTTATTTTAATTATTAAAAAATATATTTTTTTATAATTACCTCCCTCACATACAATTTATAACAGCAATACTCACTTCTAATTCTCCACTCAGGAACTGTCTTTCAAATTCAGCATTTTCACCAACATACGATGATATCATTCGCTTTACTTGTTTACTTTTTAACAGTACACCTAGTCCAAAATCATCGACACCTGGAAATTATAATAATATACTTAAGATCTTATCAATTTGAGTCACTTAACTGTGAAACTAAAATATATGTGGCTTATTTATTAAATTGCAAAAGTTACTTTTTATTTTTACTCTGTTATGTTACTATGTGCACTCTGAGATAGCATTAATATGTTTATCCTTAAAGTACTATGTTTCATTTGTATGTGAAAATTTTGAATTTTAATGATTTTTTTGTTACATTGTACATTAATACAACTCATCAACCCAAAAGTAAGATTCCTTAAAATGGATGCCAGTGGTGACAAGTAACAAAATTTGCATTTACTATCAGCTTTTGTAAACAAAGATTAGGAATGTATAAATATAACTTTATGATTATTACATAACATTTTATTTAGAAGAACTGTTAAAATGTAATTTGAGGAATGACTACATTTTTTCTTACTTACCAGCATTATTAGATACAATAGTCAGTCCAGATATTTTTTTGTTATTTATTGCTTTAATAAGATTTTCTGGGATTCCACACAAACCAAAACCTCCTACAAGCAACTTTGAACCATCTTTAATATCACTTACTGCCTCATTCACGTTAGAGAATATTTTGCTTTTATGGGAGGTACTGTAGTAACAGCCTATAAACTAAAAAAAATATATATTTACCATACGTTTATAAATCAAGTAAGTAAACCCTAATCAATTATGATTCCTAAGGTGTACTATTATAAATAACTTACCTTTGTGTAAGAATTTGACTTAGAAATACCAGATATTGTTTTAAAATTCAAAAGAAAAAAGGTTTTTGTTATTCCCGACATAATAATTTTATTCAATATTGGCAGCAATAATTGTCTCTACAATTACTGAAGAATTCACCACACTTCTATCACCTTGTTTACAATTAAAAAAATAGTTTTGTGCGCACACTCCGAAAATATGTTCATATTATTATCAACTATCAAGAAGTATCAAACAAATCAAGGTCGACCACCGGGCACTAACCAATAGGATTCCGTCTTCAAGTTGTTTGAATTACAATAAATTATAATTTATAACTAAAAACATTCAGTCATTAATTATGCCGGTTTTAGTGCCGGCAATCTAAACTTATGATAAATGTTAACAATCAGTTTACTTTGTGATAATTCATATTATTGTCACCATCTATATAATATATTATTTAGGTTTGAATTGAATTTTAAAATAATAATGTTATATTATCCCAGTTCAGTTTTATAACTGTCATTTTATTGTTATCTTGAAATATAAGACCACGATAAGGAGGAATTAAATTTATATCGTAAAACCGAGACGGACCGTACTTTGTCGAAACCGACAAAACAAGAATCAAGATACAATTGCTTGGATTCGCGACATCTAGGGTTCTTACTTCTTACAGCACAGTTACCGAAGGACAGAGACATCTATTAGTAATAAACAAAAACGGTGTTTTACTTACCTCTTTCATATTGATTATAGCACAACTCTAAAAATTAAGATTGTTTAAGATTATTTATATAATATGTCAAATCACAAATGTTTTCTCGTATACGAAATAGATATTCTTTTTGGCGATACTTGAGTCAAATTTAACTGTTATTATATGGGTTTATAATCACATACTTGATGAGATAACGCGTGTGCCTGTTTTTAAGAGTTCAAAGACGGTACATTAACATTTATTGCATAGTGAGGTGAGTTGTAATAGTTGTTACATTATCCAAAGTGTGGTTTGCAGAATATTAATTAAAATGACTTAAAAGTTCTCAAATGCGCGCCAGTCCAGTAATACTTGATTAATTAATCTATAATATTATTTTTGTTTACTTTTCTGTGATTTTGTAGATGGAAGTTCACACGAACGGACCTTTAGTATTACCTCTTCCTATACAATAAATATCTATTTTATTTTAGATAATAAACAGGAGAAAAAAAGAACAACCATCAATAAAAGTTATTTAATTAAATTATTGTATTTACCTTATTTGAATATAATATTTTAAATGCGACAAAATATATTAACAATTTGAATAAAATTAATATTTAAAATAATTTTATACTAAAAAAGTTAAGGCACTATATGCATTAATAACTAATTTTACTACATATCGATTTTACCAAGAACAGTTTTTTAATGACTCCTATAATAAAATACAGATAAATCTGTTAAAAATACATACATCAATCTAAAAGTTTACTATACATACTAGAACATATAATTTTACATTTTGTATCTAGTGCACAAGTAATAAAAAATATAACATTCTACATACAAAATTTCATATTATAGCCTTTCGGGTCCCCCAGACGCGGCGCTGCAATCCATGACGTAATGTTGTAAAAAAATAACCATTTATGAGTAAAAAAATTTCCTATTTTATTTACATTTAGGCAGATGTAATTTATCAAATAATATTATTTTCTGCATACTTCGATGAAACAATATTTCTGTTATGTAAAAAGTATATTTTTATTTACTTATATTAGCGGTGTTCTCCTCTTACAGGAAAAAGATGAGAAAATAGGGTAAAGAAAAGCAATACAATTTTTTATTCAGGTTTTTTGCATATTGTTGGGTTCAATTTTTTCGAGTACCGCCGCTGTTATCCTTCGTTTGTAATTCTTGTTATAGTTTCCTCTGACCCCTGCAATTAAATTATGAACAATTAAAAATATAGTAACTTTAAGTTTATAATGCTTATGTAATATATGTTTTAATTTCAGTTACCTAGTTTCATCACGTTATGTATTTATTAAATTTTGTCGCAAAAAGGAATTTATATCAATAAAAGGCCCATCAATACAGAAAAAATTATTAAATGGCAACCTAAAAAGTACCTGTTATGGCGGCAACTCTCTTCCGAAGATTTTAGGGTATCAAAACACTTTTGATTCTTATGTCCGCTTCACAGAACTCTTTCACCTTTAATATACATTTCTCGAGCCAAACTATTTTACAACTTTTGGCATTTAATCATCTTTAAAATGCACTATGCTAGTTAAAAATTCACAAAAATCTGCACATACAAACGACTTGATAACATCGACATAACAACTTTGCCGACCTGTCAAATTTAGCCAAAATCACCCCGGGACTTCTTTCATGAAAAGCACTTTATATATAAATATGTTCATCAACCATAAATATAATTCTTACTTGGTAATTGTTCACCATCATGTGATTTGTATTTATTATTTACCACACTTTTGACTAATTTGAAAACTTATTGATGTTGATATATCAATAATTTTATAAATAGATTTAACACTCATCAAATTAAAGAAAAATTGGCTTTTATTTTTAATTACCAAATGTGTTAAAGAGGTACAGATTTTAATTTATTACGTTTCCTTTAAATTACTCAACAGGTAAAAAAATTGTATTCCTACATAAGTAGTTGCGTAATGCCCCATGTGTTTTGCGGGGTAAAATTCCTAAATATTATTGAATTTATAATAAATCAAATATAGCAATTATATAGTTCACAAATCCTCTTATTCATAAAAACAACATCAGTTGCAGAACTGTAGCAAAAGTATTTTCTTGAGAATGTAAACATAATTTGACAAGACAAAGAAGTTCTACTCAATGTAAATTAATGTAGATTAATTTTTATGAATAAGGCGGGAAAAGTTCACAGTGAAATGGGACAGGCACTGATTGACAGGCGAATATTGCCAGTGTATTTATTTTGATTATTATAGTAAGATTACAGTTTGCATTTCATTAAAAAAATTAACTAAGACGTCCAGATCTGGCATCGGTAATTGCACCCCATAGTTCTATGATGAATTCATCGGTAAACCCGAATTCTTGCAAGTCGCTGTTGTCAATAGCGTCGGCCAGTTGCATCGAGTTCGTTTTGCCCTCAGCGAGGTCCCACATTTGGGTGGCGAGTTCTGTGTCGTTAATGCCCATGAATGATTCTAAAAGCTCGTTTATTTTCTCTATTCCAGCCTTCGATTTGTCGTCATGCTGAAACAAAGTACACTGTTAGTACGACTATTAAAAAAAATTAAAAATAAATCAGTGGCCTCTTTAGGTCTTGGCCTCAGATTTCTGAATCTGTTTCATGATCATTTTTAAATCTAATAGGCAAGTAGGTGATCAGCCTCCAGTGCCTAACACACGCCGTCGACTTTTTGGGTCTAAGACATGTCGGTTTCCTCACGATGTTTTCCTTCACCTTCACTTCAAGGTTCGAGCAAATGTTAAATGCGCACATAGAAAGAAAGTCCATTGGTGCACAGCCGGGGATCGAACCTACGACCTCAGGTATAAGAGTCGCACGCTGAAGCCACTAGGCCAACACTGCTCTTACTAACTATGTATTAAACTAAACATAATAACACGCCGTTTTACAATTTTTTTTGTCTCGTTTTATCACACTGTAAACAGAATTTGTTAGAAAAGGACTTGCATTGTTTGATTTTGAAAATGATATAACGTCAAATTAATTTAGCTTAAAATAAAATATTTATCAGTGTAAACGCGCGGAGATAGGAAATGCAAGATATTTTGATAAATCTTACTTTATCTATGGTAATAAAGGCAGATTATAAGAGATATACCATGTCCTAGTAGCGTGTAGGTTCACTGTAGAATATTTAATTTCACTTGATGTCTATTTTTTGTAATCAATAATTATTAAGCTCGATGTTATCTGAGGATTTTTTTTTAAACCCACGCACCGCACACGTATACTTACCCAAAACAGGAATTTTGATACTCAATAGCAGTTTTATATGTAAAAAAAGTTCCTCTGGTTTTCAAGAAACTAAGTATTTAAAAAATATTACACAGTGAATACATTTATATTGCATCGTCATCTTTCTAAATAAATTATGCGATTATATAAATTTATCTTACCAAAAATTAAATAAGCACATCCTTTAATTAAAGGAATTGAATTTTTTTATTGTGAGTAAATAAATGTCACTACATCTGCAGCCTGGGATTTATGTTCTAATAACTTGTTTGTTAACAATAACAAATTATATTATTATTAACAAAGACGAACTTGTTTCATCTTATACATATTTCCAACCAGTAATAATTTGACGTTACTAAATAGCTTCCCTAATTATAAACGAGATGGCGCTGATTTAAGTTTTGCAATTTTAAGGTTTACGAATACACCTACCTCATTTTCTATCGTCGCTTGTCCATTGGCTTTAAATCTTAACGTTTCTTTTCCTGAACCATAACTCTTTTTTCCGGATCTCGCTGAACCACTTTTAGGTCCGATGCTGCCGAAGCCGCTCTTCAGTGGTTCAACGAGTCTAATAGTAAAGGTAGTTCCTAAAGGTATTTCCTTAAGTAATTTCGCTACTTCATAATGCCTCTTTCCAACCATGCTCTCGCCTTCTAACCTCTCGATATGGTCTCCAACCTGAAAAACGAATTATGAACATAAATGGCTGACTCTAATAGATTGTTTCCTGTTTTATTGTCAAGCGGGCAGTGACCTCTGATTAAATGGTCCACACACAGATGTATAATTTGTAAAGAAAAAATGTATCAGTCTGTGCCCTCGGGGAATTTTGTATACATTTTACAGAACTTAGATTTAACTACTTGTAACCTACGGTCATCGAAATTGCCGTACTTAAAAGATCTTTCAAAAGTGTTTTTTATGAAAACAAACACTAAATTCACTAGAACTTGTAAAGTGTGTTTTAATATTAAGTTTGAAATATGTGTTTGAAGTAATTTATAAATGCAATGATTGAAATTTATTCTAATTCCATGACGGCGACATAAAGTAAATGAATAAGTATTTAGTGAACTTCCGTCGTGTGACGTGACGATTCTTATTTAATTATTTACTTATTTATTGGTAAAAAAAACAATTACTTTCCATTTATAAAATCACAATGGTCTATAGTCTATATTAACGAAACAATAGGTCAGGGCATTTGAAAATGGAATTTTCAATTAGGTTACAGTAAATCAATATAAAAGGTCATCTGCTACATTTGTCTGTTTTATACTGCTTGGACCGTACATGGTATTGTCTCAGCACCGAAAACTGAAATATTTATGTAATATGTATATACAAACACTCACTTCTATATGCGGTATCCGTGATACAATTGAATCTTCTTTTATCCTCTTAATAAATGAATAGCCAGCACCATTGTCAGTAATGGTTAAGCCAAGCGAGTCTTCCGTTTTAACAATTTCGATTTCCTTTGGTCGACCTTTTCTGTGTGCGAATATAAAGTCTTCTAATCCAATTTGTCCGCCTAAAAGTTTCTTCATGTCCACTTTGTGTGAGTTCAACGTGCAGAACAAAATCTGAAACCGTACAAATATTCGTATTAAGTATACAAATGTTGGACGTAGTCTAAAACTTAATATTATAAATGCGGGAGTTTCTGTTGCTGTCTCAAGAAATTCAAGATATCTGTTTTCTATGAGAAAATACTGGCTGAATTTATGGGACTTTATAAATAATTTCGGTTTCACTTTTATTATACTTTAGTTGTTTGATTGTATATAAATATCTATTTTGTTCGTAGTTCATAGCTATATGAAAAAACACTGCAATCTGTGAAAAATTATAGATGCAGAAGAATTAACTAAAGATTTAAGAAAAAATTGGCGTACATGCATTAATACAGAACTTAATTTAATAAATATTTGAAAATAGAATAAATAACTTTACTTGTGTTTTTTTTAAGTTTCGGCACGCAACTAGATTTTGCGTGTTAAAGGATACATACGTACTTTAACTAAACATATCTACTGCACACCTGAGTATTTCTGGTCAATGCATTTTAAGCATAGGTTATATGTCAAGTGCAGATAAGTTTTGTTTTCCCTATTGCGTACCTACATTTTGGATTTTTCGATTACTTGTATCATTCAAAGAAATGGTACGGTCAAGGAATTTCCCGTAGTAAAATATTGAAGCACATTAAAATTACCCAAGAATCAAATCAGTTTTATTCAGGAAAATGTAAAGAAAATTGATTCTTGATTGATAACAGGTATGGAATGCACCGGTTATAGGTCATATTTTAGATAAAGTAGCGGGCATAATATTATTCTATTTAAGTAATAACTGAGGATATAAATTATAAGAATTTTATAATGAACTAGCGGGCCCGATAAAGGTTTCTAAACCTTTTCGGAGTTTAGTTACACGCGCAGATTAATTTATACAAGGATATATGTATTTAATTGAAACTATCAATGCTTCACGTGCTTTACAGGAAACATGATTACAAGTCATTTAAAAGTAATTGCTATTATACTCAGGAAAATTACAATAATTATTTGATTAAATGCCCCAAACTTTAATTACGTTTAAGTATATCAAACTAAAAATCTCCAACAAATACTTGTTCTTATTCACTTTTATTTTCTATTTACATTTTAAATGGATTTAAGTATAGCGGGCATCGATAAAACAGTCACAGAATTCTTCTATAACAGAGATACAACATTTCAACGACAGAGTCCAAATCAAAATCATTTATTCATATAGGTAACACAATGTACACTTATGAAGGTCAAAAAAGAAATATATATTAAATGCTTAATACTTCTAATTTTATGCCAGTTCTCAAATCAAGGGCGTAGAACGGAAGAGAAGAACTGGCAATAAACGCTCCGCCACTCTTTTTAATCGCTAAGTTTTTGTTTTACACAATATTTATAAAGAGCTGCAACCATTACACCATGTTCCACATGACAACTTAAGTAATGAATAATAATAAAATAAATTAAAAACAAAGATTTGTTCATTATCAGCATTAGGCACATGTCCTTATATTAAATTTAATTCTCTTCGCCTAGAGGTAACTGGCAAATTGTTATTGGCTAACCATAATAATGTGATCTCTAAAAATACTTATTGTAAATATTTATCGTTCTTATCATTTACCAAGGTTTCTGATTACATTTGCTCCGTAGTAATTTCGTGACGAAACATTGTATTTTGAACGTTATCTCAAGAGATTTAGAGACAACTAATAGTAATTTGTAGCTACAGTTACGTAACCTAACATTAGTTATTTATATTTTAGTTAATAATTAGAAGCGCAAACCAAATGTTAGCAATCATCGCACACTTGAAGCCAAAATGAGCCCTTTAGTTTTTCCCACACTCATAAATTGTAATATAACATTCTCTTTTCCGATAATGTCCAATATGTCAACTACACTTATATTCTTTACTAACTGTTCTCTGCCACGCTTCGAAAGAACAACTCGTTATAATTGTGAAAACTCATTACAAAAGTGACGCTGAACCCCCCCCTTTCCCCAATCCTAATTAAATAAGAGTGGTCGAGAAATGTGAAACGAAACATCAATTAGATGATAAAAGAAACCACCCCCGCCCCCCTAACTTTGTATAAATGTATAATGTCGCCGAATACCCGAAACATCAATTCGATTTGCTAAAGACCTTCATGCGTAAAGTTTGTTAAATTTTGCAGGAGCTCAACTTGCGGACAAGCCCGGCAATTTGCTCAATGAGTAATGGAGGAAAGGGAAGTCGTTGCCAATTTTTCGAAAAAAGTCATTTTCTCCGATGAATAGACACATTATCTCACGCTTTATGCCCCCCCCCAAAATCCTGCAATTTAACCCCGTGCGATTTTTTCTTTGGGGTATTGTGAAATCTCGGATTATATGTATAAACCTTATATCATGCTAAAGTTTCAAATCGAAAACCAACGCGTCATCGGTGAGATACCGAACTCTGTGAAAAAGTCTGGAGAATTTCATGAAAAGTGTAATGCCTGTACATCGGGCCGTGGGGTCATTGCCAATTTTATTCCATATTTAACCGGAACATGTCTTCTTTACATACAATAAAATATCAGAACTCTGTCATAAAATACTTGTCTTATTTAAAAATGAAAAAGTGCCCCTTACTGAGACACCCCTTAGATAGGTAACAGAAGTGTCACTTAGATTTAAGAACCCTTAAATAAGTCAAGATAGTTGTTGGTTAATACAGCGTCGCAATCCCACAACCTCTAATTTTATGTTAGTTATCAGCTCGATTAAACCCCGTCGACACCCAGCTTCAAACAAAGGTTTTCATTTATTTAAACATCATTCCAACAACCGTCACCGGAATTAACTTTAGACAACATAATTTTTACAGTAACATTTAAAAGTATATTTAAATTGTCGTGATATTTTTAGCTGTTATAAATTAATATTTAAGTTAGGTGAGAGTTTTGATATTATTGATCACTTCGGGAATAATGATTATGTAAAGGTTAATTTGATTTTGAAGTTTTCTGTAGTTTCGATAGTATATTTTATATGGACTTCAAAACTCTCTCAAGTTCCTTGCACTTATGTATATATAAATAGAAATTACTTTCGTGTAAATCGCATTAAAATAAATAACGGAAACATCATATTATTCCACGAAAGTGTCGAAAGTTCAGACATTCTGACGTGATCTAGTAACAATGGAAATTATAACAATGGTACAGATCTATAATTTTAAATGACAGAATATAAAAGCGGTGATAGCTGATACAACAAAACGTTTTCACAGTTCACCTTGACATGAAAATTTAGCTCAACGCCTATTAGCGTATTTATGATGTTTTTCGCGAGTTTGCCGAACTTGTTTTGGGATTTTTTTAATTTTTGTACAATTTACTTTTCTTTGGTATTGTGACCACCAAAGTTGGTTAACTAACAGTGTACACAACTAAAAGTAACCAAGAAAACAATATGTTCCTATACTCCTCCGAAACGGCTCGACCGATTCTTATGAAATTTTTTATGCATATTCAGTAAGTCTGAGAATCGGACAACATCTATTTTTCACCACCCTAAATGTTAAGGGTGGTCCCAACCCTAAATTTTTATTTTTTAGACAAAACTTTTTGATTCTAATTTTTTATGCAGCATACAAAATACATACAACCCTTAATTGTCACACTTCTACGATCAACCCCTATTTTTTATTATAGTAAATAGGTATTTTTATTGAACTGTAGTAGATAGTTATTTTTATTATACATGGCAAAACGACGTTTGCCGAGTCAGCTTACAATTTTACTAGTTACAATTTTCATACAGGCGTGTACCCTAGTTAGTAAATCGTATGCCCTAATTGTCTTGGGTTGCTAGGTAGACGATCATCTACCTGCCTTAAAAAATATCAATGCTCTGTATTCAGCAATAAATCAGCAGCCGTAAACTACTTTCGTTTACAGTAACGAGATTTAAATGAAACTATTCTGTCAATACATTTTCGACGAAGGCCTTAGGTCGATAGCCCTTGTCTGAGCTTTATCGTCGACTCTAGGAAAATATAATTTGAAAGTTTAAATTTCATAACTTTTAAAGGTTAATAAAAAGAAAATTAAAACAACTTTAAAAAGTTTGATGAGTTTGGCAGATGGACCTTTAACGCAGGCAACATTTCCTCGCTGTATTGCGATAGTTATTCGTTGAGCGAGGAATGCACCAGCTCGGGGGTCACCGCTACCATCTACCTGGCGCCAACTTAACTTTTTAATTACGCCTGTACTACTGCACTTGAACCCCACGGCCCAAGAGTCTCTATTCCAAAGGGAACAAATTCGAAGTTGGAGAAAAGACTCTTTATTATTACTACGTAGGTTAAGAAAATTGTAAATACTGTATATTTGTTTGTTATGTTGAGTTACATGAATAAAATTGATTATTTTTCCGACCCAAATATCGACCAATAGAATTGCACCATTCGACGTCACGTGGTACAACCTACATGGTATTATACTGATAATTTTTTGAAAATTTTCTCTGGTAGTTGCTTCAAGAAAAGTATTAAGTAGTTGTTTTATTCATTATGAAATTCTTATTTGTTAACTGTACATTTCGTCTCATGGTGCAATTCTATTGGCCGACATTTGGGTCGGAAAAATAATCCCCCGAATACCACACGAGCTTCAAAATTATCGGGTATTTCCCGATAGGTTCGTTGCAAACAAATGAAGGAGTCAAGTTTTTCAGGTTAAAAAATCACGAGCGCTTGCGCTTGAAGCTCTTGTGGTATTATAAGTGATAATAATCAACCACAAAAAAAAATATGTTTTCTGTTTTTTTAATTCTACCATATCCATTATTGCCATTAAAGTATATATTATTTGTAGGTTCTAAAAACTCAATTTTTATAATAATGAAAGAAAGGTTTTTGTTGAAATTTCGAAATTGCATACATTATAAAACTTTGATTATTATTACAAAATGCTAATTATATAGAACGTTAGTCTCAAATGATTATATTTCTATTCATCCGAGTGGCTTCAAAGAATGCGTTGCCACAACAC